GACTGGACTTGGTTGTGATACTTTCTTAAGGTACAAGTACCCTTTATATAAAACTCTCTCTTATAAACATGAGTTTCTATGGATTTGTTTCTCTAGTCTACCCAGACTAACACAGATATCCAAAGCAGTGAAGTTGGCTGCCATCTTTGAGTAGGGCACCGTTGTTCCCAACTCTGCCCGTTAAGAGATTTGGTTGCGATGCAATGTGCATGTTGCCCTTGTTTACTAAGGAAGACTGTGTTTCTGGCAGGGTTACCCACCCATAATATTTCCTTTTCTGGTGATCATTTCAGTATGCATCTTAAAAATTCAGGCCCATCCATTGTCACTAGCTGGCCATGGCTAAATGTGTAAGAAACAGGTGGAAACCCTGCTCTGGACGGGAGAGATGGTGTTGAGGAACCTGCGAGCTTCCCTCCAGGAAGAAGTCTGCCTCTATGGAGCGGACACTGTTCTCCATCATTGGGCAGAGGGCGGTTCTGGACTCAAAAGGTTATATGAGCAAAGAGCTTGAGAGATGCTGGGATTGTTTCTCCTTAGAATAGGAGATGGCACCAAGGGCAAACTGAACAAAAACTAGTCCAGCACATAATTAGTCCTTTCGGGTGTGTGCAGGAGAGTGGCTCTTTCAGGGGTACAGGGTGAGCACCTATTGGGATGATAGGTTTCTAGGACCCCAGAACCTCCAAGAAGAAAAGAGCTAAGCGATCATGAACCCTGAGTCAGCCCTTGGGCCAAGGCTGGATGCCCTCCAGTGACAAGTGCTCATGAACTTCCTAAGACGATGAGACCACGCTCAAATCTGCCACCTCGAACTTAACGCCTGTGGAATTTATGACCTAGAACTCCACTGGGCAAGCTTCATCTTCTCGATTGGTCCATCAGATAATGGACAAGCGTCAGGTCTTCTCAACTGAGAGCCCAGGTCCTTCCATTGAAAAGTTTTCCATACTCCACACGATCTGAATTAAAGGCCAGCTGTCGCTGTTCTAGTCCTCAATTTTGATGACTGCGA